CAAATCGTGTAGTTCTCCTTTTAATAAGGATCTAATAAGGACATTAGCTTCGGCGGGATCCGCGAGATCACGGAAATCAGATCGAGACTTCTCACTACTGCGGACTACGACGAGGTTTCAAGGATATCGTTAGCGCGGTATAGCGGCCATCGAGACACGGCACGTTCGTAATGAAAATGTAATGGCCAGCCCGGCCGATGGGAATCGCATTTGTCCGGAAGTAGTTTGCGGCAGCTCGGCGCTCAGCCAGGTCACCTTATTTTGCATCGGCGCTTTTTGCGACGGTGGCTCGAATCGCCGCGATTGATTAGGAAACGCGCTATTGGCTCTCACCGATTACCGATCGAAATCGCGATAAAGCCATAAAGATCGGTTTTATTGAGTCACGAACTCGGATACAGTTCGGCGTGATTGCGTGCGAATCGCGTCGAGTTGACGGTCGCGAGCGCATCCGGTCGAGTCAGAATGCTTCGCCAGGAGTTTGAGAGAACTCTAGACGGAGAGAATTTTGTAGTAGGGATTGCTATTGACTTTTCTAGCCGAGGAACAGATCGACATTCAGCTGTAACTTCTTATCCTCTCATCTCATATGTTCCATTTGTATTTTAGGAACTGTGAAATATGAGAGAAATTACTGAGAGAAATTATCGGATAAAAAATTAATGAACAGATATTTCCGATCAAACTGCGCGATAAATTTTTATATTTTTTTAAATTATGAACCGATATTTCTCATCGGATGTTTTCTGACCAAATACAAAAATTCATCGGAATTTTGATCGGAAATATCCGTTTGTTAATTTCTTATCGAATAATTTTTCTCAGCATACTATCAAAAAATTTGTTACACTGAAAGAAATTATTCTATAAGAAATTAATAAACTGATATTTTCGATCAAAATACCAATAAACTTTTGTATCCGATCAGGAAACATCCGATGAGAAATATCGATTCATAATTTTTTGTTCGGTTTATCTGATGAAATGCCATTACAATCAGAAATATTCGATTAAATTTAATGGGATATCTTGATCTGATATAAAAATTCATCGGTATTTTTATCGGAAGTATCCACTTGTTAGTTTTATCAGATAATTTCTCTCAATGTATGTTTCTAGTGACATTTATCATGTTCTTTACGATAGACTTTAAGAGTGTCAAAGTCTCACGGAAAACACGTTTGATTGGATTAATCGAATTTTTTGAGGAACATGAATGAACCACAACGTTTCCGGTTGAAGTAATCAGAATTCCGTTCAAGTTAAGACAAAATTTCCGGCTAACTTGAGCAGAATTCGAGTAATTGCAACCGGGATCTTCTGGTTCGTTTATGTTTCACTAAAAATGTGATTAATCCAACCAAACCTTTCTTTCTATGCTGAACATGTTTCCAACTTTGGACATTCTTATTATTTTGATCTTTAATTACGAATATTTAAACTTCCAATACAGAATATATGTGTATAGAACATATTTAATATATATTTATATTCTAAATTAAAAATTTAAATATTCGTATTTAAAGACCAAAGCAATCAGATTGTCCAGAATCAGGTGCATATTGAGACATTGGTGCTTTTACTTCACTGACAATCTCTATTCCCGTACCATTAACAACGCAGTTGCCAAAATGCAAAGAATTATATGAAAAGAAGACTATAAACATTCCCTTCGCGAACTGAACCATTTCTGTGTGCTGCGCCAACGTAAACAAGGCGAGACGAGGCAGGTGAACGTAAGGCGAACGAAAATTCACAATCGACTAACAGTAGTTCTGAAAAAAGAGAAGGGACAATTCTCAGCGCTGCACCGCGTCGGCTGTCGCCGGCTGTGTTGTCTCGGTGTTGTTTCTAATCGGCAAACAAGGACGCGACTTCGTTACGTGCAATGTGGGACAGACGACACGGGCGCAATTACATCGCGGAGACGCTGCTTGCCGTCTCTTGATTCGACGTATCCCAGAAGTGCGGAGCAGAGCGGCAATAAGCTCCGGTAATGCGGTGGCCGGTTCCACTAGCGACGGACACCGAAATCCGTACTAGCCAGTAGCCGGCGGGCAGTGGCGCGGTGGCGGGTTAGAGCGAGCGTCGATTCGGGGGTGGTCCAGGCTGGACCCAGAGCCCTCGTATAGCTGTGGTCAGCAGGCGTGACGGCGTGTGTGCGTGTAGGGTAGTCATGGTGCTTTCGCCCTGGCAATGCCACCATGATCCCAACGATATCCCCTGACTACCGGCCGCGCCGCGGGGATGCGACCATAAACGCGAGAGCGAATTGATTTGCGACCGGAAAGCGCGTATCGTTTCCAGTAATGATCGCGGAGACCTCATTGTCTTCGTGCGACGACGAGATCATCGCGAGCGAGCGAGCGAGCGAGCGAGCGAATGATGCGATGTACGATCGAACGACCGGTAGGGGAAAAAAAAAGAGAGGCACCGTGGTTCACGCCTCATAGACCGCGGCGTTACCGTAATTACGAAACCCCTCGAATGGAAACGCGCTAGCGCGCGATGACGGCGCCGATGACTCGTCGTTGTCGCTCGTACACTCGTGTTTCTTTACGTCGGCTCCGCGTCGATGTTGTCGACAGAGTCCGGGATTAAATTATCGTGTAAACGTGAGGCAAATTCCATAAAGGCACCGGTCAAATAGTTCAGTTCGATTTTCCGCCTTTTTGGACGGTAAATCTGCCATCTTGTGCACTGAGGGAAAAGAACAGCTAATTGTATCACCAAAAATTGCAGATGTTTCCAGCACCAACTGTATCTTCTTGTTGTTCTAACAAGAAAGTAATGGTAGCAGATATATATATATATATATATATATATATATATATGCAAGGTTATTATATATCATTAAAATTATAGTAACGAGCTTACAATGATCACAAATATCAAACACTTTTCTCTCAATGTATTATATAGATGCCGGAAAATGTTGCCGGAAAATTGGCAAAGAATCGTAGCCAACGACGGGAATTATTAGATTGATGAATAATTCATTCACAGAGAAAACTTTTATGATCGCTACAATTACGTTCTTTACAGTTAAAAAAAATATTTAAATGAATTCAAGTAGTTAAATATATATCATATTGATAATCATTATATACACTAAGAAAAAAATAGAAAATTTATTTGTGGGATATAAGATTTATTTTTATAGAAATAAACTTTATATCCTACAAATAAATTTCAAGTATTTTTCTCAGTATGCCCATTCACATTGAAAAAAAAACTGAATATTTATTTCTGGAATATAAAATTTATTTCTGTGAAATAACTTTATTTCACAGAAATAAGGTTTATATCTTATACACAAATAAATTTTCAAATATTTTTTCTCTATCTTTAACATAATGTTAAACTTTATCGAGTACAATCTTGCTCTGAGAAAAAATATCTGAAAGTTTATTTGTGGCATATAAATTTTGTGAAACGAAATTTATTTCTGCGAAACTTTATATCCCACAAGTAAATTGTCGAGTATCTCTTTCTCAGTTCTCACAGGACCACAGTTCTTATGATACGTAAATGTTCAAATTATCCTCATATATAACTGCCTCAACCGAGAGAATATATCTCTGTTGTGGTCTACAAAACGAATACTATAGTTGAGAGACCCGTAGAGTTTGGTTATACAGTACTGAGAAGACCAGTGTACTGCTTCCAAAGTGTTATGGTTTCTACGATCTTTTTATGTATATGAATGAAAAATTATATTAATAGTTTTTGTCGCAGCAAACATATTTAACCAAGCGATATCCTTAGTGTTTACTCCTTTGAATGCAATCGAGTCAAATGCGATTCGAAAGTGAAATCAAACTTTTTCACTGAACTAAAATATGGTAATCCCTTTTATCAGTCTGTCTTTCTCTCAACAGCCCGCCAACAATGGCAGATTCCCAAATCTATCGACGTTAACGTCTCTATATTCCGAGCTCGTGCGACTCGCTCTTATCCTAATACAAATGTGCTCAACGGAACAAGTGTCGAGGGGGGTCGAGTACTCGGCGGAATAGCCGTAAGAGTGACAGCGGTCGACTTAACTCATCGCCGAGGGGTCGCCGAAAACAACGGTGATCATCGAATCATCGGTGCACTGGCACGGACAGGGGGACATATGTCGCGACGCAGAACCCTCCATTACGATATTGGCTGCGAGTTATCGCGTTAGATGGCTTTAATGCGCGAAAATGAAGCCTGCGAGTGCGCCACGAAGAGCGGAATGCTCGCGGGGGAGAGAAGACTAATAATAACGGACGCACTCGCAACATTGACCCTGCAACATTTCACGATGCCGCGGAAACGATTAACCCGACGGAGATATGGAGGCTCGCGCGCTCTCTCGTTCGTCGTCGCGCGTCTTGTCGCCGCCCGCCACGTGCTTATCAGATTAGAAATGCAAACGCGCGCGCGCCGAATGTGAAGGGGTGGGTGGTGGATGCGAGATGATAAATCATTACTTTAGAAACTACCAAAGCGTGAGAGGCGAGTCGCTGTCGCAACGGGAAGTCTCGCCGGCGAACGGTACGGGCATTCTTCCACGGAGTCCGTCGAGTGGAATGATTTCGTGGCGATAGAACGCCCGGGCGCGAGAGAGAAATGATCTACATCGGCGTTCTCGCGCGATCCGTTCTGCCAGCTTCCCTTAACAATCGCGGATCCAGCTTGAGCTTGAGCTTGAGCGCGCATGCTCAGTATCTGATGATTCACACGCAAATCGCGTTTAACGGCGCGATTTCACGGCGGATCGTTCACGGCCGCGGAACAATCTTCGCGCGCGGTTGACGCGTCGACCTCTCGAGTCGCCGCGATCTCGATGACTAACGCGCCGTTTAAATCGCCGGTCGATCAAGCTAATACCATTTACTTGTACACATACACACACATACGATACAAGTGCGCGTTTCTTGCAATAGCGACACAATGAAGATCGCGACGTTAACATCGGATTGTTAAGCCTCCGCTTGTCTAACGGCCGATCGATCTCCGTTTTTCAGGTCACGGCGGTGTCAACCAGCTCGGCGGTGTCTTCGTGAACGGAAGGCCGCTACCGGATGTAGTCAGGCAGAGGATCGTCGAGATGGCGCACAGCGGCACCCGACCGTGCGACATTTCGAGACAACTCAGGGTATCTCACGGCTGTGTATCCAAGATTCTGTCGAGGTGAGTACCTAATCCGCACTCCCCCGTATCCGCTGCAACACCACAACTGGCCGTCGAACACCTCGGTCCGACGGCGGCGCGCAAAATGGCCGAGGGATCGTTAATCTGAATTTCCGAGACGAGCCGTCGGGCTCCGTCGCTCGAAAGGGAGCAACCTATTTCTTCAAACGACGCGACTGCTTCGCGAGCAATTAGCTCGGAGACGTGGTCTCGCCTTCGCGAAGTCGCATTTGCCAAGTTCGAGGAACGAACGGACGAACGGACGTTACCGGGACGCGCGGGCTGATTTACGAGAGAATCGGACTCGTCTCTTGCCAAACGCAACACTGCAATTTCCGCGTCGCGGAGTGGCCAAGGTCGTTCGAATCGCGGATGGGGAGTGAAGCAGTGAGATGAGGAGGCAAAAAACGTGAGAAGGAGGAGAAGGAGAGAGAGAGAGAGAGAGAGAGAGAGAAGGAAAAGAGAGAGCGGTCGGAGAAAAGCCAAAGTGATTTAATTAAAGACGCTGTTAGGAGCGAGACGAGCGAAGCGGGGGATGCACGGAGACGACGAGGCCGGAAGGAAGGAACTGGCCCCCTCACCCTCGCGACGCGGGGGTGCTCGACGATATGCGGTTTCCATGTTTTTTCCACCCTCCGGTCCCCGCTCTCCGTTACATAACGGGTGGCCTCGTGCCGCTTTGATGGCCCGAACGTCATTCGAACGTCCCCCGTCGGCCGAATATCATTGTCATATACGCGCTCTTTCACGAATCCCGCATAATAAAGGCCGACTGGATTATTTACTGCCGCGGCTAAAGTTACCGTTTCCTCCTCCTTCCTTCGGCCGGCGTCCTTTTTTCAGCATAACAATCGAACCGCAGGGAGAAAACGAATGACACTTTGTCATTAGCGGAATCGCGACGTCACGACCCGTCGATCAGAATAACTTCACCTGTCAAAATATCGGATAGAAACGAGTGGTTTTACAAGAATCAACTACTCTCTTAAAGTGAATCAGTGAATAGTCACTGATATCAGTTGTAAGTACTGAGCACTTTCAGTGCAACACTTATAACTGCAAATCAGTGTATATTCATTGTTTTCAGTGATGTTTCACTGATTTATTTTAAAAGAGTAGACAATGCCAGAATCTGGCACGTCGGAGTTGAACGCGAGACTAAATTTAGTTAGTTGTTACGCGTTAGTTGTTAGATTTTTAAACGTTTCAAAGCGTAAATGTGCGCGCCAAGAATACCTTGAACCAACGCACATTATTACACACCTTTCCCATCAAGCTTGACCCTTGCAATCCGGGAAGCCACTATAGTGACGCGGCGACAGGAGTGTCACAGGATTTTACCAATCCACTCTTTGACATACACGAAAAGATTCAAAGACTGCGAAAGTCGCCCGAGAAACTGTAAGAGTTAACTTATCTATCTAATTTTAGCCGTTCAAGATTGACCCTAAACGAAATTATATTTATGAATTTTTTGCAACATGATAATTGATAAGTATAGTTTCCTTTAGAGAGAGAGAGAGAGAGAGAGAGAATAGGGGAAATAGGTAAAATTATTAGATAAATTATGTAAATTTTATAAGTACATCCAGAAAAATATTAGGTTGTCGCATGACCTTTGTCGTATCTTTGGATAAAACTACAATTGATATAATCTTGAAAAAGAATCTATTTCATTAACAACATATAGCTTTATCTACAATTTATGCAGATGATATGCAAGCAAACTTACGACGAAAACAAATTTAATATTAATTTATTGCGTGTCGAAGATAAGCGCACGAAATTCGACTAAAGGTACGCAACAAAGTAACATAATCTTATCCTTAGCAGAATCTTCTTATATATCTTCAAAAGGGTTCTTCTAAAACTGAAAGGAAAATATTCTAAACACAATATCACTCAAATTAGGAGAAATGTAAGGCCTATAAGAGCCGTACTCTGGATATTAGAATAAATTTGAATGGGAGAATAATGATATTTGACAGTGTGTTAGACGCATATGCCAAATATTTTCCCGGGCTTTCAATGTACGCGGTGTATTCACCTTTCAAGCCAAACCGACCTTGAATCCCATTTATAACTATGTAGCACCCATTTTATTTGTCCCAACTTAATTGTTCATTTTATAATGTTACGGAAAATATTGCCTGACCCATTTTTCGCACCATTATAAAATGCGCAATTATGTTGGGATAAATAAAAGCGCGGCGAAGGGATTAATTGAATAATAAATGGTATTCAGGTTCGGCTCGAAAAGGTGGATACACCGCGTACGTTGAAATTTTGGAAAAATACTCGGCGCTTGCGTCTAACACCGTCAAACTTCATTAGTCTCTCTATTGAATCTTATTTGTCCTATATTGAAAGAAGAATTTTGCTGTCGAGGTGAAAATTTGATACATTCGATCGTAATTTGGTTAAAAATGCGATTAACTAAATGTTTGGTAATAGTAATGAAAATAAGTTCATTGCCGCTTCGTGTGTTTGACTTTTTCAACAATATATACTTGACACAAGTTAAAACATGCTAATACCAACCAAATAGCATATAAGAAATATTTCAGTTCTAAATAGAAAAATAACTTTTCAGTGTAACTTCCAGCTCACGGCTCTTATAGACCTTATCTTTCTCTTAATTTGGTGTACACCACCTTTGCTATATGATTTACAATATAATCTCTCTTCATTAGAAGTTCTTTTCTTAAGTTTTCGCTTGAAATATGACATGGCACCTTGCAACTGGAGTTTCTTTCTTTGCGTGTTAGAATATTGTCATTTTGATTCCAGAGGAATCCTCTTGCGGCAATATATAAGAGGATTCCGCTAAAGATAAGATTACATTTTTATGGATGTGAGAAGGTCAATGCACAAGCCCATGTTCGATTCTGATGTGCCAGGTTCTCGCGTTACTTGATCAGATATAAATTCATGCCGGGTGATTAAACACGCGAAGCTCCCTCGACACACTTCTACGCTCCCCGTTTCTTCGGGGTCCTGAAGTTTCGAGGATTCCGCAAGACGCGGAAGTTCGAGGGGCGACGCGGGCTTCGCTTAACGACGCGACACGAGCGGGTTTTACGCGTTCCTAAATTTAAACGTGCACGCGCACAGTCGAGGACGCGATCGTCGCGGCAAAATGCACGACTCTTCCGCGTGATGTTGCTGAACGCGCTCGCGGATGCCACTCGGGCGGCTTTATGGCCCAAAAGTACGGCGAGAACGGCCTCACGGCCTCAGACGGCCGTCGACGCGTCGTCGCTGCGTCGTTTACGCAGTCACGCGTCGCTGATACGACAAGTCGCGACGCGCGTTCGCCGAATCTAGGCGAAACCGGATGCACCCGCGGCTTCCTTTCGGCTAGGCGAGAGGCTTCGTAAAGCCAGCCGACGGGGACGGCGTTGAAAAGCCCGACACCCCGATGACCCCGACGAGTCAACCGAGTCGCCTCGTTTGGCCGGAAAACCTTTTCTTCCTGTCTGTCGCGGAGAGACACAAAGTGCCTCTCCTCTTTAGGGTCGCGCGCGCAGAAAGAAACGTGAGAGAGGATCGCGTCTTTGCGCCACGCTCTGCCTCCGTATTCCGTGTTCTGTATTCTGGACGCGCCGCGGATTCTGGGGGACTTGGTAAAGCGTTATGACCCGAAGTCCGCGAAACGCGGTCTTTTGCCGGCGCGCAAACGCGACGACTCGCCTCTCCTTGCTCGCTCGCGCGCACTCACTTGACGTTCCAAGCACGCGATCGATCGATCCGTCAATTCGATTCACTGACTCAACGAGCGCGCAATCGAGCGATCGAGTGACTCGCTTTGGCGTTTATTCGTCGGACTCGTAGGACATCTGCGTCTACTCAAGTCCGCGTTCGGAGAGAACGAAAGTTGCACAGCTCGTGTTTTGTAACCAACTTTGCCGCCGATTATTTTCAAGGACTTCACTATTGCATTTCGTTATTATATAAGTGACAAGATCAAGTTAGACGCGTGACCAACAACGCGCGCGCTTGACTCGCGAGAGTACAACGTTCGGTAGACGTTATTTCCCAACGCAGGGGGTTGAATTGGCGCAATCTGTCGTGTGGCTGGATGCCTTTCTCGATCGGTCGGCTTTCTTTTTTAAATTAACGTGCAAATCGCTCCGCGAGACGCTGCGGCCTCGTAACGACGGCCGTAAATAATGCCGTTTTTCCACGGAGGTGGCGTTTTCGATTTCGCGCGAGGCTGTTTCGAATCCATTTAAATCGGAATTAATGCGGCAAGGGTGAGCAACGGCGCGACGACGGCGAGGCCGATTTGAAAAATCGCGCGATCTAATGGCCATTTCACGGTGGAGGCGGAACAAAGGGGACGAAATATCACAACGCGCGCGAGCATTGCCGTGTGTGCCCCGAAATGGGGCTCCGCACCAGATATGATCGCAATAATTTCGTGGGGGTGGCCGAGACTCGGTCTGTTTAAGGGCGCCCGATCGTGTAATGCCTTCATAATGCTTTTAACTGCAGGTTCACAGTTCGTTTTTTCTTCTTCAAGAGAGGGGGGAAGGGAAGGAGGAAAGAATTGCACGAAGAAGCATTCGGCGGAATAACGCAACGCCATGTAATCATAACACAATAACCAGCGGGGGCGTATAATCCGCATTGTAGAACGATACGCGAATTGCGTTCCGCGTCAATGGCAGCGCGTTGTAATTTTCACATGGACACGCACTCTCATTCCTCCCTTCGACACTCGAAATTCGCATTACAGACGGTGTCGCGCGGCGAGAGGGATATAATCCGACTCAACAAGCCGGATCCCATTTTCGCTCCGGAACGTGAAACGCAAAAAACCTGTTACGACGCTTTTATTCGGCGCAGATATTTTTTCCCGGCGAAAAAACGCGAAGGTCCTAATACCGGGGCGCCGCGTGCGTGTTTTCGCACACGTAGAGAGAGAACGCGCGCAAAATTGGCCAGATACCCAACGGCCGTATGAGCCGACGCCGACGGCGGACCTACATCCATCAAGGCGGCCCACAAGCGGACCATTATTGCGGGCTATCCGGCGTAATTGAATTTAAGCACGAGCGAAGATATTATTTAACTAATTAGACACAAAGGGCGCGTTCATGGCGGGCCAATCGCGATTGCCCATCGCGCGCGTACATACGCGCCCGACCGGTGGGAGGCCCGGTAGACGAGGCAGCGGACGAGAGGGACGACGAGAGATCCGCAGGGCAAAGGGAGAGAGAGAGAGAGAGAGAGAGAGAAGAAAAGAGATGGAGATAGAGAGGGAGGCAACAGCGGGAGGCCAGAAGCCGTTTGTTTTAAAACAGCCGGTCGTTGACGCGCCGCTGGACGGCGATTCGTTATTCCGACGTTGGCCGCCCACCGCGGGAAAAACGTTCGTTCCTCTCTCTTTTTCCCCCCTCGGTCTCCCCCGCGTCGCCACTGGAGCGAAAGAGAGAAAGAGAGGCAAACCGCGAACTTTGGCGACCGACCTCTCGTCGGCGCGCGGCGCGCTTTCAAGCGCGGTTTAAAGCCGATCGAAGAGCAGCTTCCTCTGCCTCCTTCCCCTCCTCACTACGCCTCGACTATTCCGCGAGACTGATCGTCGGCGAACTTTTTTCTCTGTTCTCAGGTATTACGAGACCGGTAGCTTCAAGGCTGGCGTGATAGGAGGCTCCAAGCCGAAAGTGGCGACGCCGCCGGTCGTCGACGCGATCGCCAACTACAAGAGGGACAATCCGACTATGTTCGCGTGGGAGATCAGGGACAGATTGCTGGCTGAGGGTATTTGCTCGCAGGACAACGTGCCATCCGTCTCCTCCATCAATCGGTGAGTCGGTCCTCTAACCCCCTCCGTCAAGAAGATGCTGAATAGTGGCATGTTTTGTAACTTGTACTGTTTTTCTTTATTTGGTTGCGTGGAACTGCAGACGCTTTTACAGAGTGAAAGTACATGTATATCCTTCCGGTATCGATGTGTGTAAGGAGAATCCAAATGATTGTAACAAAATAAACAAAGTTTTTATTTGCACAATTCTTTTCGTTTCCGACACAAGATTCGATGTCTTTCCATGCACTGACATTTGCACTTTCACTCTGCGAAAGTACTTGCAATTCTATGCAACCAAGTGGAAAAACAATACAAACCACAAAAGTGCGTTATGTCGGCATTCAACATGCCCTTAACTCTGGCGACAATACGCTCACTTCATGTATTGGACAACACTTTATGTATCGGACATGTATTATCAACAAATTGACTGAAAATTTATTCAATCACTTATCGTAAATTGCAATAGTTACTTTTTTTCTTGTTTTGCTTTTAACAGACTCGCTACGAGTGTCACATATATGTGACGCAATGATCCCTCATTAGGGACCAGTCACATATACTCTGTGAGAAAAAATACATAAAAATTAGTAAATATTTATTTGTAATGCGGTGGGTAAACTAAGAGCACACATTTATACTTAAACCTAGATCTTTTTATTTAAACAGGATAAATAATTTCGTGAAAAAACTAAGATTTTAAGAAAGTGTATTTTTTTATTTGTGAAAAAAATTAGTATAATGTGCTGTTAATATTGCACATCACACACAAATGAATATTTACTCCTTAGATACTCTTTCTCTCAATGTATGCGCGACGGCAAAGAATTTCTTCTATGTCCACGTTGTTAAACCAAGTTCAATTACGCGGGAAAAGAAACACGAGGTGGGCTACGGGGAGAGCCCTCTAAATAAACCATGGTAGCGAACGCGTCAACATGGTTTCCAAGCATAATACTGAGGGAAAGTAAATTAGTTTCTCGAAAGTAAATTACAATGAACTTTGCACCAATACATCTGGGAGGCGCTTGGTGTTACTGCCACCAGGGTTAAGCGTCGCGTCTGCGTAGGTATTCCCATCGAGGCGCGGTACCGGCGCGCTCTCGCTAATCGCCGACTGAGAACAGCGAATTGCTCATCCCCGGGACGATCATTCGCGAAATCGCGACATATGCTCGCGCCGTGCGGCCGGCAGGGCGCGAGCGGCTATCGCGCGATTTCATCGCGCGCACCCTCGCGTGTGCATCGAGATAAGTGTGCACCCGGCCGGGCCGTGTCACCCCGATCCTATTGACCTTTCGCAGGTTCCTTCGGGACCGTGCCGATTAATTCAAGTGTTTCTGCGTCGGCCGACAGAGCGGCAGAAACACGAGAGCGCGCCTAGGACGCCCTTACGAGAGCGAGAAGGGAGTGAGCTCCCTTGGGACGGCATTACAGCGTATCAGCACCGCACAAACTGAACGACTACTTGGTGGTCCCCTCCTCCGTCCTCCCCCCCTCCCCCTTCTTTCGGCCGGCGGAGAAGTTGCATACGGGGGTACAACGGGAAAAGGCACGCGGAAGGAAAGGGCGGGCAGAGAGATACGAGAAAGAGAGAGAGAGAGAGAGAGGTAGAGAAGAGACACACCAGGAGGGGCACATCATCGATCGACTCTCTCGCATATGTCCCGAGATTTAATCAGTCGCTACTTAAGACCTTATCTCTCGGCTGATTCAGCCGCCGGAGGGCCACCATCTTCCCGCCGGGGTCCGCGTCTCCGGACTCTGCCGCGAACTACCCCACACGTAGCCGATAATGAAATGGAGCGTAATGCGAATCGAATTGCCGGCAAGCGAAATCCACTAACGCGATTTCCGCGGGCCGCAGCCGCTAATGGAAACGCACGCAAATGAGTTAGCGCCCGCGTAACGACGTAAGTGCTACGCGCGCGGCCGCTTATTTAAATTCCGCGTCGAGGTTGCGCGCGCGCGAGGGAGGCAAGGATCGGGCTTCCGCGTTTAGGCTTGTCGTAAAGGGGGAGGAAGAGAGACACTCTTTTCCCGGTGTACTGCGTGAGAGAAAGAATTTGACTCGGGTGCTGTCAATTCAAGCCCGTCGATTGTGAGCTTTCAGTTCAGGACTTCATCCTTTCAACCTATCTCGTCCGATCACTATATCCCGTAAGACCATGATTGCACCACGGCGAACAAAGAAAGAGAGAGCTCTAATCAAGTCGCATAACAGTGGTTAGCCGAATAGAAAGCAGTTGACTCTTCCTGTCGCGTTCCCCTTCACCGTTTCCCTCATTTCGCTCGGTTTCGTCAAGTCGTTCGCTTCTTTCGCGATCGTGAGTGGTGCGCATATTTTCATTCTTTCACTGCGGCGTCGCGCGGTCACGGTAGCGTGAAACGTGGGCGTATGTAGGTACAGGAATTACTTTCTGGCCGAGGTTTTCGATGTGTGTCTAGGATTGCAGTCGAGGGTGCGGCGGTGGCTTGTTGCTCGAGTGACTCCTTCACCTCCGGCTCCACCTCCGGCACACGCTCGCCTCCTCCTGACTCCTCGCTCTCACTTCTTCTCCCTTCCTCCCTCTCTCTCTCTCTGGTACTCTGTCTCTCCCTCACTCTCCCCCGTCTCACCTTCTCTTCGGTTTCGGTCTCCCTCTCGCGACTCCTTTTCCTCCTTGTCCCTATCCCCCCGACCCGAGGCCCAGATGGCGGGTATTGATCTGAATCCGGAGAGCAGATCGCCTGGAAAAACTTACCCCGCGGATACTTATCTACCTACCTACCTACCTACCTACCTACCTATCTACTTACTTACCTACCTACCTACCTACCAACCTACCTAGTTCGCTATCTACATGCGCCCATCCAACGTACCATCACCCACTCACGTACACCGTGCCCGCAACCTTCCGCCCTACCCACTCGGTGCAGGTAAATGCATTTCCGCTCGACGAGCAGCGGATGGAGACTGCCGCGCGTTGGTCCCCTCGGAAAATGGCCACGCACCCAGCCGGCGTACATTGAGCATCGTGAGACGATTGATAACGAGGGATTTTTGAGTATTGCATTCGGCGGGCCGGCCAAACCAAAGTGAGACTGTCACCTCCTTGAGGACGAATTCGTCGCGACGAGAGGGAAGGAAATCACGAGGTCGTCGAGGGGCGCGGGGTTCGACACTTCGAGGCTCTGTCTCGCGTGAGCTTCGCGAGTAAATACCTCATTCTTCACACGATCGTAGTCCATTGTAACGGAGCGAAGATGGAGAGGAGAATACCGGCGGATAAAAAAGGTGGGCTCCGCTTCCAATCGATCGTATCGTGTTTTCATCCGCGGGCCTGCGGCGCGGCGTGGGTGGAAGTTAGTTTCGAGAAAAGAGCGAAAGCAAAGAGAGGAAAGGTCTCGATATACCAAGCGGGCGATTTTACCGCGAAGAAATAAGGAAGTGGGTGCATCAGAGCGACCGGCATCGGGGCGCGCCGGGATTTCTCCCATTATGAGCGTGTCCCGGTTTTTCTGGCGACTCGCGGTCGCTTTCGTGGTGGAGAAATAATGATACAGCTAATATAATGTATTGTCCCCTCCTCTCCCTCTGCTTTGCCGGAGCACTTCGAAATGAGACCGTCCGCGAACGCGCGGACGACAGCGAGAGGGAGGAAGGAGCGCGGGGAGCGGAGGAGAGAGCTGCGCGCGGTGGCCGGTGCACGCGGTAAAAAAGGCGGACGAGGAGGGCGAAATAATGGAGTGGCTTTCGCGAAAAATAACAGTTATATATCCCGTGTATGAGGCGGGATTGAGGAGAGCGGAAAAACAGGCGAAAAACGGAGAGAAGATTGGACGCTAACAGTTCCGAGCCTCTTCTTCATTCGGCCAAGACGCCGACGCAGCGACTTCTTCCAGCCATTGTTCTCTCTCTTTTTCTCACTCTCTCTCACTTTCTCTCTCTCTCTCTCTCTCTCTCTCTCTCTCTTTTTCTACGCGCTCTTTATGAATTGCCGGGATGCCGGGTCCTGCGATTATAAAAAAGAATGTCGTTTCCTTCGCGCGATTCTTACGAGGATTACCTTTTCTATCTTCCTTTGCTCCCTTTCCTTTTTTCTTTTTTACTAAGAGGAATCTCGTGTCGCGAGATTTGCTCCGTGCATTTCGCCAATCGGTGGCTGATGATGCGCCGGATCACGCGAAAACTGACGGAGAGGCGAATGAAGTCAACGAGCGGGGAGAGGAATGTCGCATCGTTTCGGAAGACGAACGCACATCTATCGCACGGACGCATGTATCCGAGAGAATGAAAACGGAACGGGGAGAGTCTGGAAGAAGTGCACGAGAGGAACGCGAAGGATTGCCGAAGGAGCTACGGTGAATTTCGGGAGGAAATATTGATAGGCTCGGCTTCGGCTGCGGAGTCACGGTCGAGTAGGCGGCTCTCTACCGAGGTCTATCTTACACGTATACAAACCCGCAAAGGGGTCCACCGTCTCTCTCTCTCTCTCTCTCTCTCTCTCTCTCTCTCTCTCTCTCTCTCTCTCTCTCTCTCTCTCTCTCTCT